TGGAGTCGTTCTCTTCCTTCTCCTGTTGCTGCTGTGTCGGTTCAGACAGACCAAAGGTGACAACCTGAAGTAGTGAATTTGTATGTTTCACTCTTTTTCATTTATCAATGAAGAACTGAGTCAAAACTGAAACAACAAAAACCAAGAGAAGTGATCAGAATAATTACTGAAATTAACACTTTTTTTTTTTGAATAGCAATGTTTGGTTGTTATCATGTCTTTCAATTGAAATATATTTAGTTTGACAACTGAATCAATCAACTTATTTTAGCTCTAAACATGAAGCAGGTCTGTAGGAGTTAAAGCTGGCTTTAGTATCCAAAAACTTAAATTAATGTAATTAATGTAAACAGCAATTTTCCAGAGAAAAAGATCAATAAAAACTTTCAGAAAAGGTGTTTTGTTTGTATTATTAATATCAGAGTATTTCACAAAACTGCAGTCAAAACTCTTCTCAGATCAACATTATGTTTTTCCATTATTGACATATTGTCAATCTTTGTGCACATTTGTATTGGAAATGCAGCAACAGTTGTTTACACTGATATGATTTCATGTGTTGAATAGAAGAAATTGGCTAATCTGCCATTAATGAGCTTCAAAGTGCCAAATGGTGTAGGATCATTACTGCCACCTGCAGGTCAGAGAGAAGAATTGAAGTGAGGGATTTGAGGAAGGTGTTTCAGCAACATGTTTAGGATCCAGTGTATTTACCTGTTAACAGCATTTATTACTGTTTCCTTTTCTCCACCATTTTGTGTCACTTGACCCAGTTTATATATTTGATCAGTATTTTTATTTACAAACGCAACATTTAAACCCATCCACCAATGTCGAATGTCAAAATTTTACAGTTTTTCAATTTATTTAGGAAGGACATTACATAAAATAAAAAATGTCTCTTTTGTGAAAAGGTCCAGGAAGAGTGGAGACTGTCTACCAGGACGAGCAGCAGCAGCCAGTGTACTCCGCTCTCCTCCATGGTCAGTGTCTCACTTTGCTCTCAATGTTTCTACACATTTTAAACATAAATTATATTCATAACTTTTTTTATCCTTAATGTCTGATTCTCAAAAAAAAAAAAAAAAAAACTTTGGTTTTACTTTTATTTACTTTTATGATATAACAAAAACATGTATTGAATAAAATAATAAGATAAAATATATACGTTATTTTTATTTTTAACTATTGAGATTGACTTTGTAGACAAGGGAATGATATGATGCCTGAATATTATCTTTAAATGTCCTTCTGTCCAGCCTTATGTTGCTGATCTTAGTCACACAAAAAAAACACAATAAATTTCATTTTTATGGCTTTCAACCAATTTAACATGAAATATATAAGTATACTTGAAGCTGGTATTTTTCAGTCGTATGTAGCTGGTAATTTCAATATAACTTAAAAGACATTTCAGGAATGTTAACTTTCCATCAGCATCACTGACACAATGTGACTTTTTGAACTTTTCTGTGTTTGTCACTGACTTGTAGGAGACCTCGGTGTTTACGAAACAATCAGACAACCTGGAAACTACGTAAATGGTAGAGTAGAAAGATTTCTCATCATATAAATGCTGTTAAGATCTGCAATTATACAGCAACTTCAAACAATAAACTGAAGGAATAAATTTCAGTTTCAGGTCAAGAACAATCGGATTATGCTGATGTCAGCGCCAGGTCAGATTCAGACTGAAGATTTTGTCAAGAGGAATGAATCAACAAGCTTATATTATGCCACGTTTTATTGGGCTCAGAGTTCATCTCAGATTAGTTTTAGTTAATTCATTCTTTGTGGCTCTTGGCTGGGAAAAGATAAAAAATTCACCCAAAAATGTGTTTGCAGTGTTCTGTTGGAACTTGTTAATGAGACATGCTATTTTCGCCCGATGAGAAAAAGTGTATATTTTTGACCATAGCGCCACCTACAGCTTAAAATGCTTTAATGTGTGCTTGTGAGTAGCAGTGTGTTGTAATAAGTTGCGCGGCAGAAGAAGAACATATAATAAGAATAATGGAAAAACGTAGTAAAAACAACAAGGCTCCCTGCTTTGCTTTGCTCACTTCCATGGGCTCAGAACCCGAATAAAGAAATGTTGACTAAATACTGTCTTTGTGTTTTTAGTGTCTTTCTAACTACACAGCTAGCATATTCACATTACCTATGATACAACGTTCTTCAGAGTTGTTGCTGATTCCGGTGGGGAGGAAGAGTCTGCTGTAGCTGTCTGTGTTACAGCGGCTCTGTTGAAGCTGCTGACTGACTCTGACTTCTGTGCGCTCTACTCGTGGAGGAAGCTTCTGCACAAAGTGAAGTAAAATAAAGAGCAGGCAGAGAAAAACCACAAGACAACTTCATTATGACAGTTTTAGAAATGCATTATGTTGAGATGAAGCTCTGATAGGGTCTCAGTTGAATTCAGTTTTCTGGAAAGGAGAAAACATTTCAGTGTTTCTTTAACTGACCCACATTAGTTCACCCTTTTGCCTGGTAAAAGAAAAAGGATTCAGTTCACTCCTGATGGTAAAATGAATAGAAGAAAGGAGACAATCCTGGCACTTTATTAAATACATTTGAGCTTTCCATACAACTCAGCCAAACTCACCTTGAATTTCCTACTGACACAATACATGAGTACAGTCTTTCTAGGAACTAGAATTCCTAGAAAGTCACTTTCATTTGGAAAACACTGACAGCATGCATATTTCATTTAGGAAACAAGTTTAATAAGATAAAAATATGTTCAAAGTTTGTTTTATAAGTAATGCTGGAAAGATCTTTCAATTTGAAAAACAAGCAACATGACTGTTTTCCCAAATTAAATGTGTAAAATATATATTGTCAAATTCTAATGTGTTTCCTATGTTAGGCTTTCTAAGTGTCACAGAACTAATCAGACCTCAGGCAGAGCTCCTACTGGTAAACAGGATGAAACACCAAACTAACGAGACTCAGCTCTCCTCCAAGGTCTCTACAGCTTCAAAAATTATTTCCAATAAGCCAGATAGCAGCGACCCACTGCTGCTTTCACTACTCCCCCTCACGCACATACACATATAATGTTTTTATATATTCACAAAAACTTTTCATTGGCATCCATTCATCTCTTCAGCCTAACCCTAAACTCTAAACCGAACCCTGAACCCTAAAACTGTAGTGTTTATTGTAAAAATGGGCCTTACAATGTGAGAAATGCTAAAACACATATAAATGTATATGTATATATAAATGCATAACACATGTGTTCAACATAATAATCCTGCTGAAACAGTTTGCAGAGGTAAAATTAGAGAGATTGTGGTTCGTTACTGTCTTCCTTTCCGCCCTGCAGGTGATTCTGCCATTTATGAGTCAATCGGAAGTTCTGGAAATCCAGTCAATGGTAGAGTATAAACTGATTCATAAAAGATGACTCTGTATACATAAAAAAAGTACAAATCATTTTAATTCCTTTCAGATCAAGGAGTTAAGGAGGATGAGAAAGTCGCTCTGCTGTGAGCTTCTCGACAAAAAGAGATGAAGCGAAACCCGAGTTCCCTGTTGCTTTACTGTCGAGGGAAACTGTACAAATCAATTTCTACTTCTGTGTACAGTGTAGGTGTAGAAATGAACGATTTACAAGGCAATGACTGACTGAGCACGGACATACATTGAAGATCTGTTGTTGTTACATCAACCCTCCAGACCTCTCAGGTCTTCCGGTTCTGGTTCTGCTTTATGCACCACAAGTCTGGATCATCGTGGCGGACCAGAGGAACGATGTGGCCCCTCCAGTCAGAAAGATGGCGTCGCTGTTTACATTCAGATCTCACTAATTATTTAAAGGTAAAACGTGTTTTGAAGTTGCATAGTAAGCATATTCCTCAAAAACTCTTGCCTGAAGCATAGCTGGACCAAAAGATTTGATGACGCGCTTCTCACTTATGGTTGCTAATCTTTTCTCTCACGTCTCCAATTCCTACCATAAACACTGTTTGCCAGACATTTCTTTCTGATTACATGTACTTTATATAGCAGTATCTAAAAAAGTAAGACTGCATGATCAAGAGCAAGATGTTTCTGTCAGTATGAGCAACCATGAAGGAAACATGTTTAGAGAAATGGATGCAAATGAGTTGATTTTTATGAGAGCTGCTCTGAAAAGTTTCCAGGAGGAAGTGAAAACAGTCATTGTGCCGAGTTTGGCTTTATGAGCAGACAAGCAAACAGAACGAGGATAGGGTCAGTTTTTATCACTATGACATGCAAATGGCTGCAGAGACACGAAGAACAGAAGGAGACGCGACACCACAAAACATTAGAGAAGATGATCAATCATGTTTACAATTGATTTTAAAAAAACTCAATCGATTCATTGATTGATCGTTATGCTTGAGTTTGAGAGCTTGAAAGTTTCAAATGCGTGTGTAGGTGCGTGTGTGTTTTATGATAGCTGCTCTCCGGGTTGGAAACGTCAGTTTTTATTATTATGACATGCAAATGGAGATGAAAACCAGAAAGAGACTTCACAAAACATTACATCATCAGAGACATTTAGTTTTGTGTTTGTTTTTAAAAATATGCTTGTTGATCAAGTGACTCTTGTGAAAACAGTGTTTTGTGGAATACACTAATTTTGATACAGCCAAAAAAACAGCCAAAGGTTTCAATATGCATTTAAAATATAATACTGACTATAGAGGAAACTTTATTGTTCAAGTGCAGAAGAAACTCTGCATAGAGAATGAGAAACTGATTACATAAAAACATTTTTCTTCAGAGAAGATATTCTTCATAACCAGGCTGGTATTTTGGAAAAAAAACCAAAATGACAATGATGGACTGATGATGGTAAAATAGATGCTAAACAAAGAGACTTATCCTTAAATCCATCAATACTGACACTTTTTAAAGCCACATCTAGTTAGCTCAGACATGTGATGTTTATTTTTGCATGTTTAAATATTCAAATCCGCACACTGAGGGTTATCTGTCCGGCGGTGCAGAGCAAACAGATCTGCCTGCAGCAGAACGAGAACATCTTTATTTCACTTCGACGCAAGAGAACCTGACTGAATGTAAGTTTTTCAATCTTTTATCAGATGTGCGTCTGTTTGTAGGTGGATTCACAATAGTGGCTTCTTGTTTTTCTGATTCCTTCTATGAAGTTTGATGAAGTACAGTCTTTTTATTTTATTTATCTTCACACTTAGATATAAAAAGATTGTTTATTGTTCCATTTTGTTTTGGGGAGATTTTACATGTATGTTTTTTTTCCCCAACAGAAAAGAATTCGTCAAAATCAAACATTTTCGTCTAACAGCAAATATGCAGTGGACTCTGCTTCTGCTGATTTGGACGAGTAAGTGGCTCTGCATGAATTTTCATTTATTTTCATTAAAAGATACTATATTTATTTTACACCAAAAAGACTTGTAGATGATAAAAAAATGAATACAGTCCAACAAAGTCTTTGCTGTGACTGCCTTACAGCACTTTAAAGCTGTCTTGTGAATAAATCCACTAAGTATTTTCATCTGTTTTAGGTCAATGTTGTCCAGTGGTTTGTCAGCTCTATGAGTTTCACTACATTAAAGAGGCAAAGAACTGGACTGAAGCTCAGCAGTACTGTAGAGAGAAACACACTGACCTGGTCACAGTGACTAACATGAAGGACATGGAGAGACTCATCAACATGTCAGATGGAGATCCAGCTTGGATTGGTCTGTATTATCAAACAAATGGTATCAGAACATGGTACTGGTCTCAATCTGAAGTGGAGTTCAATGAAAGTGAGACAAACTGGAATGAAGAAGAACCAAATGACAAAACTGGGTGGCAAAACTGTGGAATCATATGGAAGAACCTGAAGTGGGGAGACCTGTCTTGTAATGATCCTCGATATTTTCTCTGCTATGATGGTGAGAATGTTTGAGTCTTATGGTTGAATTTAAATCTACCATTTTGAATGGAAAATTTTCATAGACGTACGACTAATAATTTGGGTTCTTGAACATGGTATTTTTGTTGCAATATTTAACTTATGATTGTATTCTGGGAAGAAAATATTTATTTCAACTAATGCTCATATCTTGTTTATCACACAGACAGTAATTCATCCAAGAAATATCACTTGATTCAAGAAGAGAAAAAGTGGACAGAAGCTCAGAGTTACTGCAGAGAGAAACACACAGACCTGATCAGTGGAACGAAGCAGCTGCAGGATGGAGATGTGAAGAATGAGATCAGTTCTGTGGGAAGTAATACATACATTTTTACTGGTTTATTCAGAGACACCTGGAGGTGGTCAGATGGAAGCAGTTTCTCTTTCAGATACTGGAAAACATGGTTTGACAATCAGGCAAGTTATGGTGGTCAATGCGCCATGACTAAGTTTGACGATGGAGGCAGATGGAAGAATGAGAACTGTGATGGAAGAAAACCCTTCATCTGTTATGATGGTGAGTTGTTCTAATAAATATTCCCACAATAAAATAATGAATATTGTATTGCAGAAGAACAGTTGATTCTATTCATCTTCCTATATACATTTTTATATTTGTGTTTGAACAAAATATTTAAGTTACTTGAAAATATACATATGTTTACCTCAAATCATGAACGTACAAAACACATTTTAAATGTCATTCTTCTTGTTTACAAATGACATCCTAAGACATAAGATATTAATTATTTTAGTCTTTTTCTGAACTTCTGACAGATAAATTGATCCTGATCAAAGAGGAGATGAACTGGGAGGACGCCTTGTACTACTGCAGAGATCACCACCATGACCTGGTCACCATCACCAACATGGATCAACAGATATCAGTCCAGCAGGAAGCCCAGTTTGCATCGACTCCTTTTGTCTGGATGGGTCTGAGCTATGCTTGCACTCTAGATTTGTGGTTCTGGGTCAGTGATGAGATGGTCAGATACAACAACTTGGCCCAGAATGAACCGATGGACGACTGTGACATGTCTGGAGCCATGGAGACGGGAGGAGGATATCATTGGTTTAAGAAAAATGATACTGAGAAGTTTAATTTTATTTGTTCCAAGTAAAGGTCATCAGTACATCAGTTGCTTTTAGTCAGGTGTCATTTTTCATCTTTAATCTTTTTGATTGTTTGATTGCCCTGGACATCAAGAAAGACCAAATTCAATGTTAATTAAAACCTTGTATTTGCATGTTGAATATCTACGTCATTAAAAGACACAAATGTATCAGAGTATGTCAAAAAGGACGTAAATAAACCATAAAGTACCAAAAGAAGTGGAAGTCTTTATTCTTTTCAGTTTATCAAGACTCAGGCTGAGTAATTTGGTTTCGGTACATCAGAGCTTCTGCATTTTTGACATTCATCACAACTTTCAAGTTTCCAGGAGCTACATAAATTTAGAATATGGAAACATCATTAAAAAAACATCTGAAATCAGATCTCTGAAAGACTGAAGAATGTCTGAGCAGGAAACTCTCTGAATCATATTTCTCTTATAAGCTTGAGAAAAGAGTCAATTTGTCAAACGTCAAGTATGTAGAGAAAAATATCTGAAACAAAAATATCTGGTCTGTAATTTTCATGCCATTAATAATGAAAAGAAACGTTTCTTAATTTTCAAGAAATGTTTGTGCATTGAAGGCTCCCAGAATGAACTGTACTCTGTTAAATAGATGCATTTATTTGTTAAGGTTTCCTTTAGCATTACCTGTTTCATTTGTTTAATATCTTGATTAAAAACAATTTTTAAAAAATCTTTTTAGTAAGAAACTGCAGCTTCTGAAACCAAATCAATTTTAGTTCATGGAGCTTAAATGTTCCTCAAAATGTTTTTAAAAGTCTTCTCACGTCATGACAAATAAATAAATAAATAATCTGACTGCGTTTTATGACAGGTGCAGACGTTTGGGTGGAGTAATTTAATATTCAAATACTGACATTCGTGCTGAATAGAAGGAATACATGAGAACCAGGAAAAGCAAGTAATTTAAAGGAAGTGGCTTCAAAAAATAACATGGAAGAAATTTGAATGAGATGAAAAACAAAAAAGTATTTTAAAACATAAAGAGAAAAAAAAAACTGTTCTTTGCTTTGGACGTACTGCAGAGATCATCATGATGACCTGGTCACCATCACCAACATGGATGAACAGATATTAATCCAGGAGAAAGTCAAGGACGCATCGACTCCTTTCGTCTGGTTGGGTCTGCGCTTCAACTGCACTCTGAATTTCTGGTTCTGGGTCTGTAAGGAGATGATCGGCTATAAGAACTCGACCTCGGCAGGATGGATGAACGACTGCAACACATCTGGAGCCATGCAGGCTGGAGGAGAACATAGATGGTTCCAAAGAAACGACACAGAAGAACTGAACTTCATTTGTTCTAAGGTCTAATTGGAGCATTATGGCCACTGCAGGCCAAAGGAACGACGAGGCCAAAGACGAGATAATACCAATTTGATACAAACGTGGTTATCTACAGTCAGTTCATGAGATAAATGTGTAAAATGTGTTTGAAGCTGCATAGCATAGATTCTTTCAAAACTCTCACAGCTGAACAAGAAGCTTTTATAATCCTGATGTTCTGAAGAACTCAGATGATGCGTCGTTCTTTTATTGTTGCTATTATTTGTTTCTTTTTGATTTCATGTTGCATAGCTTCATATAAACAAATTAGACTAATTGAGTATTTTTCTCTTGGTTCTTGATCCCAAACAGAAACACTTGTGCTGATTTTGTGAGCTCCATCCTCCTCTCCTCTTTTCTCTCCTGATTCACAGTGAATAAAAGGACTTTGTGCCTCAATCTGTAAGAGGACATGAGTCTTCAAAGATTACATATAGTTCACATGTTGTTGTGAAAACAAATGACACTTGTTTCCATATGAGGCAAAATAAAATCAGTTTGTATGTGATTATATTGAGATGTTTGTTTCTTACTGACTGAAAAATGACGACAAGTTCTGTTTTCATCCGCTGACTTTCCTCTCTCTGCAATCGCAAACTCAGTTTTTCACACTAAAAATAGAAGCTGGGTTTCTTTTGTCACAAAGGAGACTTTCATTTTCATGTTTACCTGAACATTTTATGTCACATGATGTCATTTCCTCCGAAGGAAGAAAAAAACTATCTTCTTCTGTCATCCTGGAAAACACAGCTTTCACTAGAGTTCACCACTCAAAACAAAAGGAAGTGTTGAAAAGGTGAAAAGTAACTCAGAAGGTGAGATTAACTTGAAAAAAACAAAACATATATATATTTATATATATATGAAAATAAATTAAAATATCCCTATTTCTATCATTTGTGTGATCAGCTATGAGTGACATTGAAGACATTTCGCTCCTCAGTGATTAAGATCATTGACAGCAGAGTTTCCATTTAGAAAGAACAGGACGTTTGCGTCACCATGAAGGAAACATGTTTAGAGAAATGGATGCAAATGAGTTGATTTTTATGAGAGCTGCTCTGAAAAGTTTCCAGGTGGAAGTGAAAACAGCCGGTCATTGTGCTGAGTTCAGCTTTATGAGGAGACAAGCAAACAGAACGAGGATAGGGTCAGTTTTTATCATTATGATATGCAAAAGCTGCAGAGACACGAAGAACAGAAGGAGACGCGACACCACAAAAACATTAGAGAAGATGATCAATTATTAATTATTAATTTTTAAAAAACTCAATCGATTCGATTGATCGCTATGCTTGAGTTTGAGAGCTTGAAAGCCAAAAACACGCAAGTTTCAAATGTGTGTGTAGGTGTGTGAGTTTTTCATAACAGCTACTCTCCCGGTGGAAACATCAGTTTTTATTATTTTATTATTATAAATGATGAAGACCAGAAAAATACTTCACAAAACATTACATTATCAGAGACATTTGGTTATGTGTTTGTATATAAAAATACGCTTGTTGATCAAGTGAATCTTGTGAAAACAGTGTTTTGTGGAATACACTAATTTTGATACAGCCAAAAAACCAGCCAGAGGTTTCAATATGCATTTATAATATAATACTCTGCATAGAGAATGAGAAGCTGATTACATAAAATATTGGAAAAAAACTCCCAAAATGACAATGATGGACTGATGATGGTAAAATAGATGCTAAACAAAGAGACTTATCCTTAAATCCATCAATACTGACACTTTTTAAAGCCACATCTAGTTAGCTCAGACATGTGATGTTTATTTTTGCATGTTTGAATATTCAAATCCGCACACTGAGGGTTATCTGTCAGGCGGTACGGAGCAAACAGATCTGCAGGCAACAGAACGAGAACATCTTTATTTCACTTCGACGCAAGAGAACCTGACTCAATGTAAGTTTTTCAATCTTTTATCAGATTTGCGTCTGTTTGTAGGTGGATCCACAATAGTGGCTTCTTGTTTTTCTGATTCTTGATGCAAGTATAAATATTTGTAATATTGAGTTGTCCATGTGCCTCCTGCTAACAAAACTATATTTTAATAATGTGATGTTGAATTAAAAATAGTTTTTTTTAAATGGATTTACAATTCTTGTGGTTATTTTTTAGATTGTAGTATAAAACAAATGCTCTATGTTTTCCCCTAGGCCTATAAAATCCTAAATAAATGTAAAATAAATAAATAAATGAAAAGACTAAGTCACATAAAACTTCAAGGAAGCTATATGAAATACAGTCTTTTTATTTCATTTATCTTCACACTTAGATATAAAAAGATTGTTTATTGTTCCATTTTGATTTTGGGGGAGATTTTACTGTATGTTTTTTTTTCCCTCAACAGAAAAAAATCTGTCAAAATCAAACATTTCCGTCTAACAGCAAATATGCAGTGGACTCTGCTTCTGCTGATTTGGACGAGTAAGTGGCTCTGCATGAATTATGTTGGCATTTTCATTAAAATATACTAAATTTATTTTCCACCAAAAAGACTTTTAGATGATAAAATAATGAATACAATCCCAATAAAGCCTTGCAGCACTTTAAAGCTGTCTTGTGAATAAATCCACTAAGTATTTTCATCTGTTTAAGGTCAATGTTGTCCAGTGGTTTGTCAGCTCTATGAGTTTCACTACATTAATGAGAATAAAACCTGGACTGAAGCTCAGCAGTACTGCAGAGAGAAACACACTGACCTGGTCACAGTGACTAACATGAAGGACATGAAGAGACTCATCAACATCTCAGATGGAGATATAAAGGAAGCTTGGATTGGTCTGTATTATCAAACAAATGGTATCAGAACATGGTACTGGTCTCAATCTGAAGTGGAGTTCAATGAAAGTGAGACAAACTGGAACCCAGGAGAACCAAATGATGAAACTGGGTGGCAAAACTGTGGACCATATGGAAGAACCTGAAGTGGGGAGACCTGTCCTGTAATGATCCTCGATATTTTCTCTGCTATGATGGTGAGAATGTTTGAGTCTTACGGTTGAATTGAAATCCACCATTTTGAATGGAAAATCTTCATTAAAGTACAACTAAAAATAACCAATATATTATTAGAAAATTCTTAACTATGAGATTTGGGTTCTTGAACATGGTATTTTTGTTGCAATATTTAACTTATGATTGTATTCAGGGAAGAAAATATTTATTTCAACTAATGCTCATATCTTGTTTATCACACAGACAGTAATTCATCCAAGAAATATCACTTGATTCAAGAAAAGAAAAAGTGGACAGAAGCTCAGAGTTACTGCAGAGAGAAACACACAGACCTGATCAGTGGAACGAAGCAGCTGCAGGATGAAGAAGTGAAGAATGAGATCAGTTTTGTGGAAATTAATACATACATTTTTACTGGTTTATTCAGAGACACCTGGAGGTGGTCAGATGGAAGCAGTTTCTCTTTCAGACACTGGCATAAATGGTTTGACAATCAGGCAAGTTATGGTGGTCAATGCGCCATGACTAAGTTTGATGATGGAGGCAGATGGAGGACTGAGAACTGTGATGGAAGAAAACCCTTCATCTGTTATGATGGTGAGTTGTTCTGATAAATATTCCCACAATAAAAGAAGGTGATTTTATTGATGTAGCACATTTTCAGCAACAAGGCAAAACAAAGTGCTCAATGCTGTGTGGAAAGAAAAAAAAAGTTTTTAAAGCGTTTTTCACAGACATAAAATGACAAAGCATTGTACAATAGAAGTCAACCTTAAAAGCATTCAAAACAGAAAGCCAACATGAGAAGTACAATAAAATCAAGAGATAAAAGCCTCACTGAGGAGTGAAATGTGTAATATTTTATGTATATTACTACTAAAATCAAGAATAAAGAAAGCAAAATGCCAATAAATACATATCCTTTAGTTCATAGATAAATGAGTTAACAGTGTGAGCCGAGGATCAAGACTTACGTCTGCAGCTGTAGTCTTCCCTAGTTCTATATATATACTGAAACATATTTGAGTATGTTTTAGTCATTTTTCAAATGACTAAAACATAAAACAAATTAAAATTCAACATGTTCCCTTGAATCAGACACATTATTGTTTCTCTGTGCTGTATTTCACTGTTTTTAAACCTAAAGTGTGAATTATGTTGATTGTCCTGTGATCTTCTGTTACAGATAAAGTGATCCTGATCAAAGAAAAGAAAACCTGGCATGAGGCCTTGACCTACTGCAGAGATCATCATGATGACCTGGTCACCATCACCAACATGGATGAACAGATATGGATCCAGGAGAAAGTCAAGGACGCATCGACTCCTTTCGTCTGGTTGGGTCTGCGCTTTAACTGCACTCTGAATTTCTGGTTCTGGGTCTGTAAGCAGATGATCGGCTATAAGAACTCGACCTCGGCAGGATGGATGAACGACTGCAACACGTCTGGAGCCATGCAGGCTGGAGGAGAACATAGATGGTTCCAAAGAAACGACACAGAGGAACTGAACTTCATTTGTTCTAAGGTCTAATTGGAGCATTATGGCCACTGCAGGCCAAAGGAACGACGAGGCCAAAGACCAGATAATACCAATTTGATACAAACGTGGTTATCTACAGTCAGTTCATACGATAAATATGTAAAATGTGTTTGAAGCTGCATAGCATAGATTCTTTCAAAACTCTCACAGCTGAACAAGAAGCTTTTATAATCCTGATGTTCTGAAGAACTCAGATGATGCGTCGCTCTTTTATTGTTGCTATTATTTGTTTCTTTTTGATTTCATGTTTCATAGCTTCACATAAACAAATTAGACTAATTGAGTATTTTTCTCTCAGTTCTTGATCCCAAACAGAAACACTTGTGCTGATCTTGTGAGCTCCATCCTCCTCTCCTCTTTTCTCTCCTGATTCACAGTGAATAAAAGGACTTTGTGCTTCAATCTGTAAGAGGACATGAGTCTTCAAAGATTACATATAGTTCACATGTTGTTGTGAAAACAAATGACACTTTGTTTCCATATGAGGCAAAATAAAATCAGTTTATGTGATTATATTGAGATGTTCTGTTTCTTATTGACTGAAAATGACGACAAGTTCTGTTTTTCACCCGCTGACTTTCCTCTCTCTGCAATCGCAAACTCAGTTTTTCACACTAAAAATAGAAGATTGATTGCTTTTGTCAAAAGGAAAACTTTCATTTTCATGTTTACCTGAACATTTGATGTCATTTCTTTCAAAGGAAGAGCAAAACTATCTGCTTCTGTCATCCTTTGCTTCCTGAAGACATTTCGCTCCCCAGTGATTAAGATCATCGACAGCAGAGTTTTCATTCAGGAAGAGCAGGACGTTTGCGTCACCATGAAGGAAACATGTTTAGAGAAATGGATGCAAATGAGTTGATTTTTATGAGAGCTGCTCTGAAAAGTTTCCAGGAGGAAGTGAAAACAGCCGGTCATTGTGCGGAGTTTAGCTTTATGAGGAGACAAGCAAACAGAACGAGGATAGGGTCAGTTTTTATCACTATGACATGCAAACGGCTGCAGAGAGATGAAGAACAGAATAAGACATCAAATATGAGAGAAGGTGATCATCTCTTTCCCACTGCTTGATCAGATTCTGGAAGTGATCTGATATGGCATCTAATCATGCCTGAAGGTCATCCAGGTTTTTTCAATTTGGACTGTGTTGTTACGGCGATGATGTGCTTCAGTGTATTGACCTGAAATAAAATGCCAGTAAAGAGCGTTCTCAGTGTCTGCGTTTCCATTACAAATAATATCCTGCTAATGTCAGAAAGACACAAATACGCAATTTCCATTAAATAAGTTAACTTTCAGCACATTAGAACAATAGCACAGGCCTACTGCCAGTACTAGCATCTTACAGGCACAGCTCCAGTACAGTTCAGTCCATCACAACCAATCAAATTGCTTAAACTTGATTTTGCCCTTGACTGACCAGTAAGGTAGGGACAAGTGAAATTGATGCATTTTCCTGCGGTACTAAAAAACATTTATTAACAAAACTCTACATTTACTTCGTGTTTTAAGCCAACAAAAATTATCTGAGGGGTTACATATAACCTCTCAGGTAATATGTTCCCCGTTCCTTTTGGAAATGTCACGGCAGACGCTCTCGCAAAGTTTCCACGCTCATCCGCCCATAAATCTGTTTTGTCATTGGCGGAGAAACACTGAGGCCTACTGGCAAAATACTAATATGGTTATTCATCATCTTTAGCTGTCTTTCCAATGCAGTGCGTCTCAATTAGCCTGTCTATAAAATTGTATGAGTACATCTCTGCATAACACTTTATCCTTAATAACGTATAAGAGAATAAAAAAATTAAGAAATATGGACCAACTTACAGCAAAGAATATCTTTATTAACTGTAACAGAAAAGATTTAAAGAGCATCTGAAATCCAAAAATACAATTAAATCCTTAATTAAATTGAAAAAACTGAAGCAGCTCATCAGCGTGATTGAAGTGTGATGTCTTTAAGTGACGCCTTAATTGATTTGGCTTCGTGCTGTCTGCTGCTGACATGTTTAGGCACAGTGAGCAAATCGGTCTTTCCTCGTCTCCCACTGTAGTCACAGTGAAGCAAAGCGCGGATACATACGCTTCGTCATATTTCCTCGTTTTAGCTTTTGGGAGAGTTTCGTTTGTCTCTTTATCTCTGTCTCTCTGCCTGTCTTCTCATCCCTGTTAAATATTTTTTCATGGTGTGACTTGAGGGTTTGCTAAACTTCATGTCATGCTCGTAATCTGCGCTGTGTGCAAAGCGCGCATGCTCAGTGCATACAAAACCCCAACGAAGCGAATGCTCCCTGCACACACTCTGCCAATGGGAGCGCCACTGCCCCCTAATGTAGTGGAGGTGCAATTGCACGTTATACTTGGACAGTAAATAAAAAATGAAAATGAAAAAATAAAAAGCATGTTTCCCGAAATCAAACGCCCATTGACGGAGCCTCCCCACTATTTGAGAAGCACTGTTTTAGGGGGAGATTTTAATGTGGTCTTTTCCACTCAACTGGATAGAAATGGACAGAACCTTATTTTGGATTTCTCTAACCGGCTAAATTCAGTAGATATTTGGAGACATCGTCATCCTACTGACTCCGATTCACTTGGAGTAACAAAAGCTTTTCAACTCTTCTAGAACTGACTTCTCATAAGCAGATCACTGTTTTGTTTTTCTTTTCTTTTGTTGCCTTTATTGTTCTTTTTGCTATAATGTAAAATTTTCATATGTATTTGAATATATTTTTGACATTTTGTTATGAAAACCTAATTGAAAAAGTACACATCATTATATTTCACCAATGTATATTTAAATTTATTTAACTTTTGTCTTTCTAGACTTTAACATCAACACCCTCAATATCTGTAATTGTTCTTTATTTGTTTTTATTATATTTGAATATATGACGTTGAGTTAACCTCTGTATGCATGTTATTTGTTTGAAATAAGGTAAAAAACACAACAACAAAACATTCAAACTTCATTCAAACTTGATGAGTTTGCCATTTGTTCTACTGAGGCTGTGACATCAATTTGTGACATCACGCTGCTCTCTATTACATCACAGTACTTCAATCTTGAGTTTTGGTACGAAACAAACACATTTAGTCAGTGAAGAGCTTCCACAGCAGACTACTTTTGAAACCAACGAATCACAATAAAAATGGATAAAGACATTTACCTCGAAACGATTTCTGAGATGATTGATTTATCAAATTATTCTCCACTGCTTTCACAAGAAGAACTGGAAAGACAGATTGCGGAATTAGAAAATGAAGTCCTTCAACTAGAGAAGGAATTAGAAATGATGGAACGACAAGATGAGATAAATTGGAGGCAGAGAGAGAGTCACAGATTGTGTTTGATGATATTTTAAATGGAGTAATGGAGCAAGTGAAGAAAGATAAAGATAAGAAAGACGTACAGGATGTGCTTGACGGTGTGTTGGACAGAGTAATGCTAGTGGAAATAGAGAAGGATAAGAAAGAAATTCAGGATTTGATTGATGGTGTGTCGAAGAGAGTGATACAAGTGGAAAAAGATAAGGAAGAAAAGATGGTGTGGAGTTTGATACAAGTGGAGACTAGAACAGTTAGTGGAAAAAGATAGATTGATGGTGTGTTGAACAGAGTGATACAAGTGGAAAAAGATAAGGATAAGAAAGAAGTTGAGGATGTAATTGATGGTGTGTTGAACAGAGTGATACAAGTGGAAAAGAAAAGGATAAGAAAGAAGTTCAGGATGTAATTGATGGTGTGTTAAACAGAGTGATACAAGTGGAAAAAGACAAGGATAAGAAAGAAGTTCAGGATGTAATTGATGGTGTGTTAAACAGAGTGATACAAGTGGAAAAAGAAAAGGATAAGAAAGAAGTTCAGGATTTGATTGATGGTGTGTTGAACAGAGTGATACAAGTGGAAAAAGATAAGGATAAGAAAGAAGTTGAGGATGTAATTGATGGTGTGTTGAAGAGAGTGATACAAGTGGAAAAAGATAAGGATAAGAAAGAAGTTGAGGATGTAATTGATGGTGTGTTGAAGAGAGTGATACAAGTGGAAAAAGATAAGGATAAGAAAGAAGTTGAGGATGTAATTGATGGTGTGTTAAACAGAGTAATAGAAGTGGAAAAAGAAAAGGATAAGAGAATCAAATGCTGTGAACACAGATACAGTAAATGAAGTGGAGGACGAGACAAAAGTGATTACAAAGATAAAAAGGAGGGTAGTTTCTTGAAGAAACTCACTATTGGAATTGGTGCGGTGGTAGGGGTAGGATTGGTTGTGGTGGGGGAATTGCACTGTGGAGAAGGTATGCATCTCGCTCATGAAACCGCCTCTTTAGAGGCCTCTTTAGAGGCGGTTTCATGTTTTCAATCACAGCCTGTGATTGTTTCATTTCTTTCTCCACTTTGGACGACACCACTAGTTCCTGCTGGCAGGGGGAATTTGTGTTTTCTTTGTTCAGAAAAGTTTAGTAACACTTTATTTGACGGGTTGCGAATAAGGTTAGGTGACAAAAGGGAAGTCCTGGACGAGATACAGGATCTGGGAACAGTGTACCCAGAAGGACGCTCATTGGAGTTTGGCCAGGCAACTGGCACCAGGCTGGGCATTTCCTGGGAACTCCCTGGGACGGGGCCCAACCCTGGGAGCCGTCCCTGGTCCCCCGGCCGAGATCAGAGAGCTATGTACACTTCCTTTCGTTTTATTCATCATTTCCACCAGTGGTAACATTTGCTTGTTGATCATGTGACTCGTGTGAAGGGAAAACAGAGTTTCCGTTGCAGTTTTGTGAAATAACTCATTTTAATTCAGCCCAAAAAAACCTCAAAACAAAACAAAAAAAAAACAAAAACACCAACAAGAAAAACACCTAATCTTAGCACAAAAAACGAACAAAACATTTTCTTCAGTCAGGATAGTTGACTGAACTGTAGTTATCCATAACTGGGTTGGTATTCTGGCAAAATGCCATTTGTTCTATTTGTTAGCGTGCACATTTAGTTAACATATGTATTTATTTCAAGTTAATGTTAATTTTGTTGTAAGACAAACTCTTGTTGTTTCTTGCCGGTTCTTACCTGCCTTGGAGTTGCCAGACCAAAGACGTTGGTCAGGGCTCAGCAGGCTTGCATGCTGATTGGACGACACCACTAGTTCCTGCTGGCAGGGGGAATTTGTGTTTTCTTTGTTCAGAAAGTTGGTAACACTTTATTTGACGGGTTGTGAATAAGACTGTCATAACACCTGCCATGAACATGAATAAGTCTTCATGAATATTTATGATTATTGTCATAAAGTGTCATTCAGTAAATCATGACACTTTCAATACAAAGTTGATATGATTCAAAATGTCGTCGCTATGACAACTTGACAACCAAGAAATCATTATCTGACATAAATTTGTTTCAAAATTAACTTTAAACATAATGCAGCTTTATGTTATTAAAGCTAAAGTTTAATTAAAGTTATATTTGAGCAGCCAGTTTGATTTTTTTCAGTACAGTTTTTTGTTTCTTTGATCTCTTTTATGAGCTCAGACTATTTTGTCCTTTAAAAGTCTTTGGATTATTATTATTATTATTATTATATTATTATATTATTATTATTATTATATAATATTATACTATTATAATATTATTTATTATTATTATTATTAGTAATAATAATAATAATAATATAATAATGATAATAATAATAATAATAATAATAATAATAATAATAATAATAATAATAATAATTTTCATTAATACTATATTATTAATAATAATATAATGATCATTAATATTATTTTTACTACTAATAATAATATTATTACATCATAATATAATATTATTATTTATAATAATAATTAGTAATTATTATTAATAATATTAATAATTATTAATAGTAATAATATTATTGTTAATATTATTATTAATAATGCCATATTATTTATTATGATACGTTTATTGTAATAAACTCATTATTATTAATAATTATTATTGCTTATGATTAATTAATCATAATTATTATAAATAATAATAATAATAATAAACTATTTTTCTAACGTCTCCTGAGATGCCTCCTGTTTTTTTAACTCTGTTCATCACGTTCACCAATGCAAAAAAAAAAAAAACTGAACTTGGTATAAAAATTTGATGTAAATAAAGATTTTTTTCCAAGTTCTGTATAAAAGTGTCACCATGACAACATAAACAGAAAACCACAAATTGTTTTGAGGTTTTTTCTGGTGTGGAAGGAAAAAACACAGCAGGTTTTTATTCCCTGGTTTCCCAGCAGAAAAATGTATTGTGGAAGAATAACAGAGAAAAGAAGAGATGCTGTTTGAGCAACAATCAGTTTATACTGAAAATGTGTTCAGTGTCATGTTAGTCTTCATCAATTTAACGTCTGTTTGTTATTACGCAATAGCCAGCCCCGCCCTAACCCACACAACTCCTCTGGGCTGACTACTGACCAGCTCTCCGTCTAACGGGTCCAGAAAGTCCCTAGAACCTGATATTACCCTGCAATGAGGCTGTGAGGGACAATCTGTCTAAGCTGGTTGAGAAATACTGGTTTAGCTCTAACTACCTACAATCCAGAAGTTATGACCCTTTTCAGTTAAGAAGCAATCAGTTGAGTAGCCCTCACAACTGCATCACCCCAATAACCACTACTGTTAAGGGTCGCCCCCTCTCTAATAACGAGCACTTGTTCGTAGCTAGATTAATTTTAGCGGCTTTGTAAGCCTCAGGGTCATTATCTATGTAACAACTAAAGGAAAGTCTGAAGCCGCCATATTTCTAAAATCATGTACATAGATTTTACATTAAGTAGAAGAATCATGAACAATAAAATGACTCAATTAATTTCAATGTCCACAAGCTTCATTAGAATTTTGATATATTTATTCAAGCAAGCTTTGAGCAGGGATAAATGACAACTAGATTAATATTAATGATTATAAGTAATTATGAAATAACATAAATTTAATTAGAAATCAATCACAGCCTTTCCTAACTTCTCTCCCTAAACTGTGCCATCAATTTACTAAATAAGGCTTTACAGGTGGTACAGAATTTCGGCAACAGAAGACTTGAATATCCTTGGACAGAGTCTTGTCTTAGTAAGACAAATCCTCCTTCGAATAGGAACAAGGGTCCTATTCGAAGGAGGACCCTTCGGATAGGGTCCTCCTTCGAAGGACCAAGCAAAGTTGGCTATTATCTTCCAAACATCCCAATCTTCATCACTCGTGACCTTTGTCCGATTCCCGAGTCCATTGCTACAATCTGGAGATCTTTTGGGTTGAGTGCGAAGCCACGATCAAATCAGGACCAAGAGCTGTTGGGCGTCGGGTCCCGTCTCCCTTTCAGCGGTATGAAGGCTCAACTTCCCTCTGGTTCCAGGTCGCAGCTTCTTGGTGGTCCATTGGCCTGCTTGCCTGCTGGATCCGCCAGAGACAAAGAACCACAGCTCTCTGCTTCTCCGTTTATTTATACTCTTTCCTCTAGCTGTTTGTTTGGGGAGATGGTATACGTGACTTCTCAAGCATTTGATTACCTCTTCGAAGGTCCCATACTTTCCCATATTTGGTCGACGCCCTGTCCACTTCTGCTTTATTTGTTTATTTCAAATCCTTGGCTTGGCTCCCGGATTTCCTAATTTGGTACAAGACCAGGCAACCCCATCCTCAAGACATGTCCAGGCTTGCCTCTGCACCCACAGACTGTCCCTTTTATTTTAGTATGTGATTTCAATTCTTTATATGTTATGTGATCATCATAAATCATCAACACAATCATTTTTATAATACATTTCTGAAACCAGAATTACTTAACACTCATTAGTTCTAATGATCAAACAAGATTATAATACTTTCAACTTGTGATTCGTTATTAAACTATTTTATACAATCTTTCAATAATCAGCTTCAGAATTTACTCACTTTATAATCATGAATACATCAACATAATACACTTTTTCATAATCAACAGTGAATCAACATACAAGATTACTTCAGTCTCTCAGGCCTTTCTTGATCTGTTTTCTGCATCAACCTGGACATACCAGTTTTAATCTAATAATCCAAACGTTTACTACAAAATACTTCAGCTCCTCTTTCTAACGAAGTGACATTTGCACACTTGCTCATCTTGTTGGCCTGCGATGTGATGATGCAAACATTTTCACCTCAGTTCACCTCTCTGTGTTCCCGTTCTCATGATTGATCTGTGGCGAATCTTCTGTCTTGGTTTGTGTTACACATGCAACCAAAGAACCAAACAATACTAAAACAAAATCACTATAAAAATCAGAACATCGTTTAATTACAAGCACATCAGAAAGTTTGCAAGTTTGCAAACCAAAACAGCAACCAAACAGATGGGCGACAAAAAATGTGACTGCAGAAACAACAGCAACAACAAAATCCTACCAAATTTTTGTCCCGTATCTAGAGCAAATATTTCCACTATAATTGAGCCGAAACCAACTCAAGAGCAACTTGATCTGTGAAAACATTCAGGACAAAGTGAAAGACTGACCATGTTGGAGAGAGGAGTGAACCTGATGCAGATGTTCATCCTGACCGACTGGCTGCTCTGATCCCCGACCTTGACCACAAAAGAAGATTTAAAAATATTTTTGATGAAAATGGTTTCTTATTTGGTAATTCCTGTGTTTAACGACATCGATGTGCTCTGGGGGGAATATGACAGCGTCAGAAGGAGATGCCCTCACATTTTGACTTGATGAAGTAACAGAGCAGCAGCAGCAGTAGGATGAGAACGATGAATCCAATCACTGATCCAAAGACGAGGCCAGTGGAGCTTCCAGGTCCGGATGCAGCTGTGATTAGAGACGGATAAAGATTGCAACCTGTGACAATGGAAGTGCACAAAACCAACAAACAAACTGTGACGGTGAGCCACGCAGGGTGAGACCCACCCCTCATCATAATTTGGTTTCACTTTAGTTTACTTTGTAGTTATTTTTAAAAAATATTTCTTAATGCCGTATTTTTCAAACATCAAGCCGTTGCTTTTTTTCCTCACTGTAGCCCTGTGCAGCTTTCCTTCAACCACCAGGGGGCTCTTGAGCATACAATATATTATATTTCTTCATTATCCTATAACAACTTACAATGTTTATATGGAGTGCTCACATATTGATGCTGCAAGGTCAAAAGTCAGTTTTATGTTGTATTAATACCATTTTTTTTTTGACTTTTCTCAAACCCCTACCTGCAGGGCAGAAGGCTGAGGTTCCTGAAGTCCAGCTGTTGGCCTCGTTGGACTGAACCACATGCATCAAGCTTGGTGGGGGTGTTTTGGGACTCATTTGATGGTTTTGTGTTAGTTGTCGTGTGGCAACCATTTTGTTTTCCCATATGGTTTCACTAAACCAGTATTTAAATGTCCTTATGTGTCATTTCAGGAGGTCAATTAGTTTGTCTCATGTCAGTTTGAGGGTTTTGTCAGTTAAATTTTGGAGTTGAGTAATTTGAGTTGACCTCTCTCATTGTTTAATTGCTGTTACATTTCTCATATTTTGGGGGTAAATAAAAGCCCACTTTTTTGAATTCTACACTTGTGTTCTCCATTCTGCACCCTTGGTCCCTGACACAAACAAACACACAAACAAACACAAAAACAACCATTCAAGAAGATCAGTGCATTAAGAATCTCACCTTTAACAGCCATCCAGCTCTGAGGTGAAACGTCTCCTGAATGTTCACACTTGTAGAAACCTTCATCTGACTGAGACACTGCAGAGATATTCAGCTCTCCTCTGCTGTCATTTTGGATCAGTTTGTCATTATGATAGAAAGTCACATTAGAAAGTTTGTTTTCTCCTCTCAGTCTGCAGCTCAGAGTGACAGAAGCTCCTTCAGTCACAGGATGGACGGGGCTCACCAGGAGAAGATCTTCATCTGTGAACCAGTCAGAGAAAATGAAGCTTCAGTCAGAAATCAGCTGCTGGAGACAATTAGAGAAAAACAGGTTATATAGAACAAACAGAACATTTTATTTCTATTAGATTTTTACATTTTAACTTGTCCACCTTTTGTTTAAGCACTAATATGAGGAACACTTGTGAAAACATAGCGCTACACAAATAAACTGCAGAAACTCTATGTTGACATGGTTAGTAGCTGCTGAAACAGCAATGAAGACTTGATGGTAGGGATCAAAAATGCACAAAAAAATGTTAGACATTTTGAGATGCCTTTCTCTGGTGGATGACTGAAGCTTCATAACAACTACTTTACATTAATTGGGAACAAAAAGAAAACTGGTCTATTTGAATTCAGTTCCTTTTTTTGTGATAAACCATAAGATTTGTGATGAATGAAACATGTACATTAACATACCATTGATGCTGATGTTGACTGCATTGCTGAACTCTCCTGATCCAGACTCACACCAGTATACTGATTTAAAGGGCCAGTAACTGTTAATGGTGCATGAGGATCCAGTCATTCCCCACGAATTGGAGCAATCTAACAACCTCTGATATGTTTCTATAAACATCTTCACTCTCCACTCAGTAGAGTTTCTTCCACAGTTCAGTGTCACAGACTCAGAGGTGAAATGTTGATCTCTGTCAGGACTCACTGAGAGAGACGCTGCTGGATGAGGATCTGAAAAACAACATACAGAAAATAATTGCTTGAAGCTAACAGAGCCATAAAGATTCTGTTTCTAGGCTGTTTTTTTTTCTGTGTTGTTTGGGATATGTTTGTATTGTTTTGGTTATTATATCTAAATAAGAAACACTTTTCCCTTTTAGATATAGCCTTTATTTGCTTTGATTTTAAAGTCTTAGTCACATCACTTGGCACGCTTGTCTGCAATGGTGAATATTGCAGACAAATGACTGTAAATATCATTATAGTTCACTGCAATTTATTTTTATGTTTTATTTTGTGAACAGTATAATTCTTATTTTGTGTCCGAAAATAAAAAACAAAAAAACAACCTAAGTTACAAAACTCTGTTAGGAGAGGTTGATGTGACTATTTTTGTGAAAAAATGTTGATGTTTCACAAAGATTTATTTGACTATTTTGAACTTTTGTAAACTGATGAAAACAACTACAGAGAAAATTCTATCCATGTGATCTTTGAGACTCACATATTCAGAGAAATAAACAGAACTGACCTGATGACCAGATGAACTTTGGTTCACTGTAATCAGAGAAATATTCTGGGTTTCCTCTTCCAGCTCTACATGCAAATCCTGCTGTGTGTTTCTGTCCAGTAATGATGAAGGAGTTCTCTACAGTCCCACTGATGCTACCAGCTAGCAGCTCATATCTGTAGTTGTACTTTGCTAAATCAGGAACAGCTTGATACCAGTAGAACCTCCATCCTGCAGATGAAGGTTTAACCTCACAGCTCAGAGTCACTGAGGCTCCAGGAATCAACCATAATGGAGACACAGTCAGGACTGGTGGAGCTGTTGGAAGAAGAGATTCAGTTAAAATAAATCAAATACTCTGTAACTTGTTGAAAATTTCAAAATCTTTCCAAGAAATTATAACTCCATATTTTTGTTTTACAGTCTTCCAGACCACAGTCTAATATTCTGCTAGAAACATTCACTGATGGTTCTTATTTGAAGAAGAGACACATTGAAGAGCTGAACCAATTCAGTTAGTTTCATTTTAAGTAGCTCCAAAACAAACATACCATATATGCTGATGTTGACTGCATTGCTGAACTCTCCTGATCCAGACTCACACCAGTACACTGCTTTAAAGGACCAATAACTGTTAATGGTGCATGAGGATCCAGTCATTTCCCACGAGTCAGAGCAATCTGACAACTGGTCAACAGAGGTTATTTCTCCATACTCCATCTCTCTCCACTCATCATATTTTTCTCAAACTCTTTCACTCTCCACTCAGCAGAGTTTCCTCCACAGTTCAGTGTCACAGACTCAGAGGTGAAATGTTGATCTCTGTCAGGACTCACTGAGAGAGACGCTGCTGGATGAGGATCTGAAAAACAACATGGAGAAAATAATCAACACAGATAAAACTCTAGCTAAACCCTAACAATTTCACTCGTAGTCTTCTAAGACTCTTATAATAATGAAATTCAAGGTGGATCTCCAGGAGGGGAAAAGGTGAAACCTGTAAATGAAGGACGGTCACAGCTTAATGAGTCCATTAATCGCTTATATCGCTTATAATATGCTATGACTAAGTCTAATTTAAGTCTGATGTCATTCGGAAATAAAATGGAGGAAGAGAAGAGGAGAACTGAATAAACTGGATAAAGTAGATGAACACATGAACATCGATGGGACAAAACCAGAACTGACCTGATGACCAGATGAACTTTGGTTCACTGTAATCAATTAAATATTCTGGGTTTCCTCTTCCAGCTCTACATGCAAATCCTGCTGTGTGTTTCTGTCCAGTAATGATGAAGGAGTTCTCTACAGTCCCACTGATGCTACCAGCTAGCAGCTCATATCTGTAGTTGTTCTTTGATAAATCAGGAACAGCTTGATACCAGTAGAACCTCCATCCTGCAGATGAAGGTTTAACCTCACAGCTCAGAGTCACTGAGGCTCCAGGACTCAACCATGATGGAGACACAGTCAGGATGGAATCTGGTGGAACTGTTAAGAAGAGATTCAGTTAAAGTAAATCAAATACTCTGCAATATGTTGAAAAATTTCAAAATCTTTCCAAGAAATTATAACTCCATATTTTTACAGTTCTCCAGATCACAGTCTAATATTATGCTAGAAACATTCACTGATGGTTGTTATTTGAAGAAGAGACACATTGAAGAGCTGAACCAATTCAGTTAGTTTCATTTTAAGTAGCTCCAAAACAAAACATACCATCTATGCTCATGTTGACTGCATTGCTGAACTCTCCTGATCCAGATTCACACCAGTACACTGACTTAAAGGGCCAGCGACTGTTAATGGTGCATGAGGATCCAGTCATTCCCCACGAATTGGAGCAATCTGACAACCTCTGATATGTTTCTCTAAACTCCTTCACTCTCCACTCAGCAGAGTTTCCTCCACAGTTCAGTGCCACAGACTCAGAGGTGAAATGTTGATCCCTGTCAGGACTCACTTAGAGAGACGCTGCTGGATGAGGATCTGAAAAACAACATGGAGAAAATAATCAACACAGACAAAACTCTAGCTAAACACTAACACTTTCTTTGTTTTTTTGTTAAAGACTTCATTGATTAATTTGAAATCAAACCACACACTCCTCTTTGTATTTTTATCATTGAATTATGTTTTTATTGAGGTTTGGTTTAGTTGTGCATCAATCACCTCTCCTCGGGCTGCCACCTTATCGTGGTGGAGGGGTTTGAGTGCCCCAGTGAACCTAAGAGCTATGCTGTCTGGGGCTTCATGCCCCTGGTAGGGTTACCCAAGGCAGACAGGTCTTAGGGGAGGGACCAGACAAAGCGCGGCCTGAAGACCCCTATGATGAATAAAAACTTTGGCTCTCGTGTTTTCTCGCCCGGACGCGGGTCACCGGGGCCCCACTCTGGAGCCAGGCCTGGAGGTGGGGCACGTTGGCGAGCACCTGGTGGCCGAGCTTTTACTCATGGAGCCCGGCCGGGCTCAGCCCGAAGAAGAAACATGGGTCCCTCTTCCAATGGACTCACCACCTATGGGAAGGGCCACAGGGGTCGGGTGCAGTGTGTGATGGGTGGTGGCCGAGGGAGAGGGTCCTGGCGGTCCGATCCTTGGTTACAGAAACTGGCTCTTGGGACGTGGAATGTCACCTCTCTGGTGGGGAAGGAGCCGGAGGTGGTGTGTGAGGCTGAGAGGTTCCGGCTAGAAATAGTCGGTCTCACCTCGACGCATGGCTTTGTTTCTGGAACCAGTCTCCTTGAGAGGGGCTGGATGTACTTCCACTCTGGAGTTTGCCCACGGTGAGAGGCGTCGAGCAGGGGTGGGCATACTTGTTGCTCCCCATCTCAGCGCCTGTACGTTGGGGTTTACCCTGGTGAATGAGAGGGTAGCCTCCCTCTGCCTACGGGTGGGGGGACGGGTTCTGACTGTTGTTTGTGCTTACGGGCCAAATGACAGTTCAGCTTACCCACCCTTTTTGGAGTCCTTAGAGGGGGTACTGGAGAGTGCCCCTCCTGTGGACTCCCTCATTCTGCTGGGAGACTTCAACACTCATGTGGGCAATGACAGTGAGACCAGGAGGGGTGTGGTTGGGAGGAACGCTCCATCCGATCTGAACTCGAGTGGTGTTCTGTTGCTGGACTTCTGTGCTCGTCACGGATTGTCCATAACGAACACCATGTTCAGGCATAAGGGTGTCCATATGTGCACTTGGCACCAGGACACCCTAGGCCGCAGTTCGATGATCGATTTTGTCATCGTTTCGTCGGATCTGCGGCCGTATGTCTTGGACACTCAGGTGAAGAGAGGTGCGGAGTTGTCCACTGACCACTACCTGGTGGTGAGTTGGATCCGGTGGTGGGGGAGGATGCCAGTCAGACCTGGCAGGCCCAAACGTGTTGTGAGGGTCTGCTGGGAATGTGACGGAGTCCCCTGTGAGACAGAGCTTTAACTCCCATCTCCGGCAGAGCTTCAAACACGTCCCTGGGGAGGCGGGGGACATTGAGTCTGAGTGGACCATGTTCCGTGCCTCCATTGTCGGCGGCTTATCGGAGCTGTGGTCGCAAGGTTGTCGGTGCCTGTCGTGACGGCAACCCTCGAACCGGTTGGTTGACACCTTCGGTGAGGGATGCTGTCAGGCTGAAGAAGGAGACCTACCGGACCTTTTTTGCCTGTGGGACTCTGGAAGCAGCTGATGGATACCGGCGGGCGAAGCGGCTTGCAGGTCTGGTGGTTGCTGAGGCAAAAACTCGGGCGTGGGAGGAGTTCGGAAAGACCATGGAGAAAGACTTCCGTATGGCTTCGAGGCGATTCTGGTCCACCATCTGGCATCTCAGGAGGGGGAAGCAGTGAAGCACCAACACTGGGGATGGTGTGCTGCTGACCTCGACTCGGGACGTTGTGGGATGGTGGGAGGAGTACTTCGAAGACCTCCTCAATCCCACCAACATGCCTTCCATTGAGGAAGCTGAGCCTGGGGACTCTGGGTTGGGCTCTCCGATCTCTGGGGACGAGGTAGTTAAAAAGCTCCTCGGTGGCAGGGCCCCGGGGGTGGATGAGATTCACCCGGAGTTTCTTAAGGCTCTGGATGTTGTAGGGTTGTGTTGGTTAACGCGACTGCAGTATTGCATGGACATTGAGGGCAGTTCCCCTGGATTGGCAGATTGGGTGGTGGTCCCACTGTTTAAAAAGGGGGATCGGAGGTGTGCTCCAATTATAGAGGGATATAGTGTGGTTTTCGTCCAGGTCATGGAACACTGGACCAGCTCTACACCCTCAGCAGGGTACTGGAGGGTGCATGGGAGTTCGCCCAACCAGTCTACATGTGCTCTGCGGACTTGGAGAAGGCGTTCGACCGT